TAATCACACACTTCTATTTCAAAGCAATGACTCACTCTGGTTTTTCACATCTGGAACGTTTACCTCGAACATTCCTCTCTTTACGTTGATATCCTTAATGATATTTAGGAATTCCCTTATTCTCTTGTCACGTCAGACTTAATTTCCTTGCTGTGGGTGAATGTTGTATGGCTATTTGTTGTAATACAGCTCTAAAATTAGCAGCTATGCACTCTGTCAGAAAGTCATCAAAGATGAGATCCCTTATGTGATCTGTAGCGTAGGGTTCCTGTTGTCCACACAGAAAGGAATTTGATTAATGTGTAATTTCAGCTTTTATGTATTATTATAACTTAACTGAAGAGTGCAGTAGAATAATCCATTTGTCATGGGACCTTATTTGCACAAATCCTCTTAAACCGTATCTTCTGCGCTGAGGGAAGCAGGACGTTTGTTCTCTTTGAGAGCTGACAATGGAACTTGCTTTTAAAAGTTGGGATTGCACCAACACTTAAGTCTGATTTTAATATTTGAGTTTTGAAGTTTTTGTGTGACTGCAAAATCTGTGTGCAGGCAAAATCTGCAGCCCTTGTTTTTCACAGGATCCGTCGTTTAAGAAAGAAAATGATTCTGTTTTTAATCACTTGAATCTGAAATTAGATTGTATTTGAACTCTCTTTAAAAGGGCAGACTTGAAAAATCATGTTGAAATTGAAAGTGGAAAGAACAGTTCACCAGGTCTGCCTGCTTGGATCGCACGTGGATGTGAGCAGCTCTGTTTGCTCCGGGGTAACGCTTTCCCTGCAGCCTTTCAAAATGCAGCAATAGAAGAGGACAAATCTGTGCCATCCCAGGATAAAGGGCAGCAAAAGGAGTCCTGCCAGCTCCGTGGATGCAATTTATTTGCCTTTTAATTCTGCAAGCAAATCTGGTGTTTGTGGAGAACGGGAAGCAGCACAGCGTTCAGCATCTAAATGTGAGCTGTTGACATGAAGTTTGTTTTTTAGGAGGCGGATTTTGTCAGTGGAATATTTCGTGTCTGGTTTTGATATTACAAACGTCTTCTCTTCCTCCTCAATTTGTTCTTAATTAAATTTTGTTACAATTTAGTGTTTTCTGCGGGTTGCTTTGTCTGCTGCCTGACTTCTGACCTTTAAGAAAGAGAGGATTACTTTCTCAGGAGCATTGTTTTCATTCCTTTTTTCCTTCACTATTTCTGTTTTTCCCCCCTACGAAAAGTTCTCAAACCCCCAAATGTTTTGTACATCCATTGCCCGAAAGTGTGGGAATGTGTGGTCATTTCAGACATCGCTGCTGACAACTTTTCTTTTTGTACCACATCTTTACCATCTTTCCCATTGTTTTCTTTTTTTTTCCTTAGATGAGCAACAAAAAGATTTATTCTGTGGTGCACAAGAAGCGTCCTGGAACTTTGTGTCGTGGTGTCTTTTAGTTCTGTATGAGCCTCTAAATGTGTCCCTAGAAGTGGTGCAGTAGCTGTAGTGATGCACCTGCTGGTTTTCATGCTGCCTTGCTGAATTTTCCCAATGTATGCATGCCTTCCTCCTTGCTTTTGCTGGATGAAGTTTTAAAAGCTTTATTTGGGAGGTGAGGTTCTCAAAGAAAGCAAGCTCTGCACTCTTAGCATTTCAAAACAAGCACATCCTTTTGTTCTGGATGTTACCAGCAGCCATCCCTTGTCCTGGAGAAAAGACCTCCAAAACCCCTCTCAGCCCCCCTCAGATCCGAATCCTTTCCTTCGCTGCTCTGCTCTGAGTGCATCTCTCTTCCAAAATGCCGTTGTCTTTTTGCCAAAGTGCTGAATTACACTGCTGGATGTGGCTAAACGTTTTGATCAGGGCTGTGATGTGGCTCAGGGAAGCTGTGCTGCTCACAAATTACGGCGCTTCGTGCTGCTTTTGACTAGCAGGCGTTCTGAGAAGTCACATCTCCTCTCACCAAAGCATTGCTGTCTTTTCCAATAAGGGCTTCCTCAAGTTAAAGGTCTCATGTGCAGCATCTTGCTTTATTCCTGCCTTTCGTACTTCTTTTCTGGCTTTTGACGTATTCAGTGCGAGCCGCTGGGCTGAGAGCTTTCCTGCATGTGATCACTTATGGAAGAGAGCAGCGAGGCAGCACGCTTACTTTCTCTAATATTGCTTGCACATGTTCTCGAGTCGTATCTCTCTGCTAGGGGTAAATCATATTTATATGTGCGTCTGTACTTCAGAAACGCCCCGCTGTCAGTTGCATTTAGTCCTTGTTCAGCCACCAGCAGGCAGCTCTGGGGCAGTTGCTAAAGACCTGTTATTAGGGTAACACTTAGAGCTGGAGCACCATGGAGATGGATTTATACATCTGTGATTCGTGTAGCCTTGATGTCAGCTATCTTGGTGCTTAAGGGCTGATTTGCTATGCCCAATTTGCAGGTGCAGTCACTGTGGCTGAGCACACAGTTGTGTGCATGCAGTAGCTGTGTCATCTGCACCAGTTTTATGCCTTTGGGTGGCTAAGTTGGAATTCTGTGGGTAAGGGAACAGAAATACACCCTGCTGTGACAGTCTCTCCAGTCCCACATCTGCTTTTCTCACTACACCCTCAGCCTGTCATCTGTCTTCCCTGCTTTCCTCTGTTGTGTTCTCTCCATGAAGGCTGTGGTCCCTCTATCCAATATTTCATGACCATTTCTTATCACTTTAATTAACTTCTGCAGTCAATAAGCCAAATGTTGTTTCTTGTCTTCTGTCCACAGAGCAGCTTCTGGAATGCTTTATGTCTCACCTCTGCCCATCGTCTTTCTTAAGCTCTCCTAATGCAAACAGTTCTCTGATGCTCCTGTCATAAATGATTTTGCTTTTGATTTCTGTTGGAACAAAGGGAAGTCCTGGAATGTGCCATACTGACACCATAAGAGTTAAAATCACTGGCTGGACTGCTGTACTGTGAGTTTTCTCCGACCTGCAGTCAATGCAGTCATTTCTCTAACAGCAGCACACAAGATGATAGTCATTAAAATGTATTGATGAACAAAATACGGACATTTGTTCAAAGTAATCACAGCGTACGGTCGTGTTATGCAGGACAGCACCACTACTCTGTGTGCACTGACAGCTGAGGTCATACCAAGAGTTAAAACACAACTATTTTTATTGGACATTGCTGCAAAGATTTATAAACCCATTTCTCCGTATAGCGCATATTGGTAATACATTGCACTCCAAAGTGTGGTCTCACTATTTACAGTACAGTATGTGCTTTCCTTTTGCTGACACCCATGGAAAGGAAACTGTTGCACAGCAGCAGATGATAATTTCGATTGGTTTTCCTCCTTCCCTGCTCCCACCTTGTTTTGGAGACACAGTGCAGGAGCTGTAAAGCAATCTCTGAATAAGGCGTTCTGTCACTTGCTGGTCATCAGTCCTCAGCCTTTTAGAGTGCTTTGGAACCAAATTCTTGATGCCAGTGCTTTCCTCCTGTGTGTTCAAAAAGCCACTCGAACAAATCTATACTGAAGTAATCAGAAAACGAATGGAAAGTGATGATGTCTGAAGGGATACGATGTTCCCCTTGGCCACGTTAGATTGGTGCCTGTGAATTTCAGATTCTGAGGGCTCCGTTACAATGCAAAGGACAGCACAGAGCTCTTATTCTGTGCAAACCTGGCAAGTTGCTGCTGTCACCTTCGTTCCTCCTGCAGGAATGGATGTGCATTGTTCAAAGGGCTGTACAGCAGCTTGAGTGTAACTACTTCACTTACGTACTTCAGGATCATCTTGGGCTGTAAATTTGTAAACACAGTGGGTTGAAAAGATGGTTTTATTGTGCTGGGGATGGTAAGCAATTAATACAAAAAGGAGTACAAGAATTTTAAGAGCTCCTTCAAGCAGAGCCACGTTGACCGAAACCAAATACTGCAGCTTTGGGTTGGCTTTTAACTATTGCAGATCTAAATCTGAGAAGTTTAGAAGTACTGAAATTGCAACGATTGGTGAATGCTCGGATGGTTCTGGTTTACATCACAGTTTGGAAATGTTGGCTTCACTTCTTCACTTTTTGAAGTGCTTTTTTTCTGCAGTTCTGGGTTATAAATTTCCCTTAGCATCCAGTCAGACACCCCCAGTTCAGAGTGCTTTAAGCAAGATGTAAACCACTGTAAGGTTACAGCAGAACGGTGTGAGAAGTGCCTTGAAAAAGCTATCCATGTACGACAGGTTTCCTTCTCAATTTTTAATCTATTTGTCCAGATGTTGAAATGAGTATTTTTTGGAGCTTGACGAGTATTTTTGCACTGCTTCTTGTACAATTAGGCTTCCACTTCGATGGCAGAGTTTGCAGATGCTAACGAACGTGGTTTGTGTTGGCAGTGGGACTCCATCTGTATCAGCTTTGTTTCAAAATACTCAAACAGTCCAACTCACAAGTCGTCAACATGGTGTTTTTATAAGAGTTTGGCAACTTAGCACCAAATGCTGGGAAGTGCAGAATGTGGCTCTTTAAATGACTCGGTAATAGTAGTAACGCTTTCAGAAGATTTGAATTTTGTGCTGTGTTTTTATTGGATTCTATTGAATCCCACATTGAGTTTTAAGAGGTTGTTTTATACGCAGCTTTATGCGACCTCATGCTTATCGTACACACACGTTGTGAGCACTATCAGCAATAAATAAAGCTTTCTCCAGTTTGGGCTTAGGAGAACTGGATCTTTCTGTTGCCATATTGCTTGCCTTAGATGCAGCTTCCATGGGTAGAAGCGTACATTTGGAAACTTCATGATAGCGATGCTTCTAAATGCACAACTATGCACGCCTTAATTTTGTGAATATCGTTGAAGCTGTTGCTGAAATGACCCCACTGTACAGTTTTGGTGTGTTTCTAACTCTCACTGTTTTTCTTTAGGCTGTTCTGAATCATTCAGCTCCTTGTTTGCCCGGTGTGCTTGGCAGCGTCCATCAGCACTGTGTGTTCCTGAAAACAGGGATTTGAACTGGGTACCATCCCTTTATGTTTTTCTGTAATTACAGGTCATCTCTTTTATAAATTTGGGATCTCAGAATCTGACTGGTATCGAATCAAGCAGAGCATAGACTCCAAGTGCCGAACAGCCTGGAGGCGGAAGCAGCGGGGGCAGAGTCTGGCTGTGAAAAGCTTCTCAAGGAGAACGCCTTCGTCGTCATCTTACAGTGGTTCAGGTAAAGGACCACTTTTTTTTTCTTTAAATCTTTGTATCTGCAATTGTCTTTCAATATACCTTGCACAGGTGTAGTGGAAATATTAAGTCACAGCTTGAAGCAGTGATTGAGCACCTGGTGGGAAGGCAGGGCCAGCCCAGGGAGCTCAGGTGTG